GGGTCAAAGTGAACTGCGCCGCAGGCTAAGTGCAGGCAATATATAACTTTATCTAGGCAAAAGCTGTCAACTTAAGCTAGCTATAACTGTCTTATAACTTAAGCAAGGTTAAGCTGGATAGCGCTTATCGAAAAGGAACCAAGCGCCCAAAAGTTTTTTGGGCTTGGTAAAATTATTTGTAAAATACTCATTTTTAATAATGCTCAAAAGGTTGATCATCATTTGAAACTTTTCTCTAAAGGATTAAGAGGGTTCCCAAATCATTATTAATTTTTTGAGCAGCATTAAAAATGAGTTATTTTGCAAATAATTTTGTTTACCCCAAAAAAAGTTTTTGGAGATTGGTTCCTTTTCGATAGAAGTTATCCAGCTGTCTTAAAAGTGTCAACTTGAGTTGAATATAACTATCTTAAGTTAAGGACATTTCACCACTTTTGTGAGTTAATTATTTACGATTCGAGCATTAGTTCACAATATTTTTTGTTTTAAAGTTATTGTTTACGTAAACAGAACTGTGTGTAAACGTAACGATGACACTGGGTCAAATGACGTGATTTAATTTGCCATAGTGCGGATGGACCATAAAATTCCTAAGGACCCATATAATTTAAGAAAGAGGGACTGAAAAACCTTGAATGTGTATTTGAGTCAGTCAGGTTTATGCTAAACATTCAAATAAAGTACCTGTGCTACTTGCCAAGCCGCAGCTGTACCATCTACATCAGCCTAACTCAAACTTTTTTCTTGGGCCAAATACGTATGACCGCTACCGATACGTCCTATCTTACAATAAAACTCAACATTAAAACGAAATGACATTCTAATTGTTGACATTTTGGAATTTTTTTTAAATTTTAGTTAAATCCGGCTACATGCTACTCTAAACACGTCGTCAAGGTGTGAATCAGTTAGCTGACATCTGTACCTTCGCATTTTTTGCATAAGTGACGCGATCTGAGAAAAGCGTTTTTGTAGTGACGCTCGACTAATTAATAGCCATGTCAATTCTATCTGGACCTTTCGAAATATCATTTACCCCTCTACTTAAAAAATATAATCTCAAAAATCATTTTTTAGACCGGGTACCAGGTTCCCGGTACCTATAGGTTTAGTATTAGTATTAGTATACTAATTTACAAAATTATATACTAATTTACAAAATTTTTCCTATCCTTATACTTCTTTTTTTATTTAAAAATTGCTCCCAGATTTGAGTCTGTTTTAAATTCAATAAATTTATTCCATAACTTTTCGTTGTCAAATCCCAATTCAGCAAGTTGTTTCACAGCGGCGGTTTGTAAGTGCCATGGATTTTATAGTAAGACAAGATTAACAAATGACTGTTTGCGGGGTTTGCCTACTCGGGCCCCGCGACTATATTTCTTACATAAACGTATTTATCGAATGTAATACCACCAGAAATTCGATTTAGCCGGATATTTTTTTACTTCACGAAAACTTGGGGGTTTGGCGTAGTTATTAATTTGAAGAAACGCAACTAAACCCTCCACCCACCCAACCTAAAAAAAAATGTTCTCGTCTTCGACTCAAATTAACAAACCACCAAGTTTGAGTTAAAAGTCCAAAACATTTCCTCTTAATCGAAAATTCCACATTTTTCCAAAGTCATTTTTGTGTCACTTTGGCATTTCTCTATACAATCCGTTACTATGGACAAGGTAAATAGAAAAATATTCGCCAATTTTTATCCGTATTTTTGCCAGTTTTTAATAGGTTTAAATTGATAGGAAGTAATATCATAAGGGTATCTAATTTTTCCGAAAAAAAATCGAAAAAACACGTTGCTAAGTAATATTTTAAAAGAAGCATGAGTGCTGGTGGCAACAAAAATCCGAGTCGAAGACGAGGATTTTTGCACCTGCACGAATGCATTTTGTTAAAAAATATTACTTAGCATTGTTATAAATTGCAATTTTTGGTGAAAACAGCTGTGAAGTTTTGCCGCGGGTAAACTAGAAAAAACTGCTGTCACACAGTTTTTCCAGCTAGAAACCATTTGTAATTTAAAATTGCGCGTTTGTGATTGGTGAAAATTAAGACGAGGGAAATAGTCTGCATTATTTTTGCTATTTCCCCATATTTTTTTCATCTTATCACTATATAATTTAATAATAATAAATAGCTTTATAACAGAATATATTCTATATATGTGCGTACATACCCACAATGCAAATATGAAATGGAACTGAGTCAAACAACAAAATATAAAGACAATAAATCTTCTATAAACAATTTTTTCGTATTTACTTAAAATCTAGGTATTAATTTAGGCTATATTGTGGTATTCTTAATAAAATTTCTTGTAAACATTTTTTACACAAGGCATATTTTAATTTCGTTTTTGGGCACCTCATACAACCTTAAACTACAGTAATAATATTATATTATTATACGAGAGATAATGCAGGCTATTATTCACGAGAGAATATTGCGCATAATCTGGAGTGTAATACTATACTTTATCTACTACAATAGTAGATAATTAAATGATTTTCAAAATTAAATAAATAAAATCTTACATCTCGGCCATTTCAAGCGGACTGACGGGACAAATCACAAACCTTTTTCTATAAAAAAAATTGTAGGGAATTTATTATATAATATTTTTGCATCAAAATTGTCAAATATATTTTTCTTTTATTAGGCTATACATTAAATTAAAAAAAAATCGCAAGAAATATTTTATAAAAGTAAAGATAATTTCAACATTTGACAGGTGTGGACGGCAGTGGCGGCTGGTGGATTTTATGTATAGCAATATCTTAGTTATTAGACATGGGACCCACACCAAATTTATAATAGTTTATAATGACAAATAAACAAGTTCGGCGCAAACAGAATTTAAATTAAAGTTTGCGAAAAACAGTTAGTTTTTCCTGTCGCCTTACCCGCCTCCAGGCCCCCCTATTTGAGATAATTCAAATTAAAGTGGTGCAATCACAGGTCTGTGGGTGCAATTTATTATCTACTATAATTTATCGACAAATTTAAAATTTATTTAAAAAATCCAAATATTACAGATTTTATTCGATTTTAAATTTTTATTATTTATTTTATTAAAATAACAAAATATTTAAAATGGTATAAAACCTGAAATATTTGGATTTTTTAAATAAAATTTTAAATTTGTCGATAAATTATAGTAGATTATAAATTGCACCACTTTAATTTGAATTATCTTAAATAGGCGGGCCTGGAGGCGGGTGAGGCGACAGGAAAAACTAACTTTTTTTCGCAAACTTCAATTTAAATTCTGTTTGCGCCGAACTTGTCTATTTAATGTCATTATAAACTATTATAAATTTGGTGTGGGTCCCATTTCTAATAACTATAATATTGGTATACCCCAGGGCTCCCAGCAGGTAGTTTTTTTAAAGACTTGTCTATATTTTTGTCTTAAGTCTATAAAAGTCTATTTTTTTACCTAAAGTCTATAAAGTCTATATTTTCTGTTAAAATCAACTATTAAAAAATAATATAAATATTCACAGTTTTATAAATATCGAAACCACAGTAAACCAAGTGAAACATTCGAAAACTTTTACATTTAAAGTTCCCGCCGTCCAGACCCGAACCGCCCGCCAAAATTATTGCTGAATTGTTTCTGGTTTGGTCTAGGCCCTAGACTCTAGGGTTTCGTTTACGTTTATAGTTTCGGTTCGCTAGGTTAATACTACCTATACTATGCATTTTTCATGAAATTAGTAAGTACCTAGTATCTATCAAAGAACATGTGACAAAGAATGTGTTCCTATTCTATGTTTTATCATCCATTCCATAACCCTAAAAAAATATGTTCAGACGATAGCAAAGGTAAGTGTATAACTATGGTTTTGATTAATAAAAATTATACATTTATATTATTTAATAAAAACAAAGTTTAAATGTACTTGTACTGACATACAAAAAATTAAATTGAACGATTAAGGAAGGGTGCAGAAAATAAAAAAATGACTAAAATATGTATGGCTCAACTAATGTTTGAAGGAGTGAACCATCCCAAAAAAGAAGCGGGGAAGGTAACTTACAAGATTGGTCGTCTTGCCCAAGATTTAGAAAAACGAAAGGCGAAAATTATAGATCAGCTGCAGCCCACCAAAAAAAAATATAACCCATTAAATGACTGATGCCAGTGCCTTTTATATAAATGTGATTCTATTTATTATAAGTTATAATTTATTACAGAATTTAATATTTTTTTTTGTTATTTATGTATTTTATAACAGTTATGGTTACTTGTTAAATTTAATTCAATAAAAATTTATAATTTCAAGTTATCTCTATGTATTTTAAATTCAAATTTAGATCTTTTATCCCAAAAAAATGTATACCTCCATTTTATAGTTATTTCGGTAATTAATTTGGTCTATATTTGGTCGTTTATTTTTTATTATTAGTCTCTTAAGTCACTATTTCTCGCAACATGGACTGCTGGGAGCCCTGGTATACCCAAAATCCACCGGCCGCCACTGGTGGACGGGACAAGATAAATCTGTTTTTTGTCCCGTCCACACCTTTCAATTATTAAAATTATCTCTACTTTTATAAAATATTTCTTGCGTTTTTTTATTTAATGTATAACCTAATAAAAGAAGAATATTTTTGACAATTTATGCCAAAATATTATATAGGTAATAAATATTCTACAATTTTTTTATAAAAACAGTTTTGCAATTCGTGCGTTTCGAGCGCTTGAAATGGCCGATCTAGATCTGGAAATGGTTAACTTTTTACCAATTTATTAATTTTAAATGTTATTATAGTCGCCTTCTTCCAATTTAAAACCTGATTGGTTCAAATCACAGTGGCCAATCACTGATGCCTAAAAACGTGAATAATGAGTTTATTATTCACGTTATTAGGCAGGATACCCCCCAAAATTATGCAGTAGGAGTAGATAAATGTGTTTTTTTTTTTTAATAAAAAATTCCTTATTTGCCATATAAACAACATAATAAGCAAATTTTTCTTTTTTTCAGAAAATGTCTCGTCAAGTGATATCGGTGTGCATATTTTGCTTTATATGCGCGACGCACTCTCCGTGTGCCTCGCACGCGAGCGTCGAGCGCGAAAACGTTCGACTCGGCGGCGCGGTGTACCACGATCCGAACAATCCGCCGCTGGTCGACAATCTGCAGGGCGGCCTCAAGGACCAGAACTCGGCCCTCCAACCGGCGCCGATCGGCTCACCCTACGACGACATTGCGCGCAAACTGACGACGAAACGAAAAAGAAGAGAGGAGAGTGACGAGTACGTGCAAAAGATTTTTAAAAAGTTCGGTGACGGTGACGTTTTGACGATCGAAGGGTTCAACAAGTTGGTGCAAAAGTTGGACTTAATGCCGCTGATTTCGGACACTTTGGACAAACATGACGTCAGTGATGTACATAAGCAAGTGGGGGATGAAGAAAAGGCTGATAATTCAACGGTATACTAATTTAAATTACAAGGTTGGCAAGTGACTGTAACAATACAAGGTAGAAACTCGGGACAATATCTTTACTGTTACAGCACTTCGTACTGTAATTTTGTTTTTTTATTTTCAAACCATAACCTTCATTTAAAATACTATTAAGTGGTCCAGGAAACAAAGGTTGTAGAAGAAAAACTCGATGGTAGTCGGGTTTTTTTTATGTAGAATCAGGGGTGCTGATAATGAATCAAGAATATTCCCCAAAAATTTCTTTACGCGTCCCCTAATTTCATCCCCCGAAAGGGGAGTTTTTTTGCTTTTTGGCTCATAACTCGCTAACCGTGAATTTTTTCAGAATTTGACCTCCAATACATTTGATTATGTACTAAATATGTTAACTTTATTTGTAGTGTTCATCTCATCAAGCCCTAAAATACTTCATCGACTCGAAAAACAGCACGGAAAACGGCACTTTCGATGGAACGGATTTTGCCAAGTCATGCCCTGTACTGGTGTACAGCATGCTGACCGACAGTTGCCGACAGCATTCGCACCGACACTCGCACCTGGCCGAAGATCACCGACACACGCCGAACAAAGTCAACGGCATGGTGTGGTTCTACTCCATCTTGGCTGTGATAGTGATCAGCGCGTGCGGACTGCTCGCGCTGATCATCATACCTTTAATGCAAAAAAGGTAAGGTTATGACAATATTTATAAATATATATCTATTCCATGGCTGGATGCTCCCGTGTACGAATTTTGGTTCGTGCCGCGCATGACGTCACTTGATGAGTAGTTGCCGTGCGAATACACGAATAATAGTAATATTATCAAAGAAAATTGAGAAATATCTGGACATAGTGCGTTTTTATTAAACTTAGTATTGAAGAAAGGGTTATAATATGGATAATAGATGCTTTCAGTCCTTGATAACATTTAGGGCTGTAGTTTAAGCGTTGGTGTTTTAAATTAAACTTATAGTCACTGTCCAGAACATGTTTATAGGAAACGGAACATTAATATTTTCTATTCTTTTTGTGGCATTTAACCACTGTTTGCACAAATCAAAGTTTTTCGGGAATCGATTTAATTTAATGTTTTTATTTAAAAGGTTTTTCTTGGACTGGTTGTCCAAATTGCATCCAAATATGCCACACCGTATTTTAATAAATGTAAATGGCACAACTCAAACTAAAACACAAACAAAACAAGTTAACGCAAAACAAAAACAATAATAAACAAACAGAACAGGTTAACACAACGCAATAACAATAATTTGAACACTGAAAAGTAATTCGAACCTTACCGAACGCAAAAACAACAAGTTAAACAAAAAATAGAGCAAATTTACATCCAACAGCATCCCAAAAACAAGAATTTTAGCAGCAGATAATTAAAAAGCACGTTAAAGATTTAAAAACCCTCATCAAGTGACGTATTTAAGCCCCGCCCAACATGCGCACCATCCTATCTTAAGGTGTATGTATCTTGTTTCTATTCGGTACAGACCACAAAGAAAAACGTTCTTCCCATACAATTATTGCAAGATTACCTGATGGATTCAATGAAAATTAATTAATTATTATTTTTGATAGCAAAGATTCTTATTTTTAACTATTATTTGCGAGTTGATCTCTTTTAAAGAATATTAAATATACTGTACTGTAGAATATTTGTTTTGTTATAATATTATTTGTAAATTTGTTTGTGCTGCCAATTATACTAATTCTTTTGTGTTCCCATAACTTATACATTATTATGATCCGGATATCGGATCCAGATCTGAGATCTGAATCTAGGATCTAGATCTGAGATCCGGGCTCCGAATCCTAGATCTGGATCCGCGATCCGAATCGTAGAACCGGACCCTAGATCCCAATCCGGTTCCTATATTATATACATCCGAATCCGTTTTTTTTTCAACGATTCCCGATCTTTAAACAATTCAGATCTATGCACCACTACTACCTAGACCGCGCGGCCGTTAGACTGTTGAGCGTTTGACACGTTAAGGTTTTATTATTATACAATTGAAAACCTCAGGTAAAAACTGTGGTGCCAAATTTATTTTTTTAATCCTGAAAATTGGTGAGCTATATTTTTAAACATATTTTTTATTTTAGCTACAGCAAATGTGTAATAAAAAAAACGTGATTGATATTTAACACTTTGACATTTAATGCATTTATAGTTATTTGTTTTACAAGTGCTGAAAAGCGACTTTTCCATGCAAGTGTTTAAGTTGCTCACGTGGCCGTCAGGCCAAGTGTGCATTAACAAGAGCTTAAAGAAAGCTTTTCTCACAAGTGAAACACTATTTTTTTCTACGACCCTAAACTGAAAACGTGTTTGACAGCTGTTAAAATTACTTTCATCTTATTCTTTTATTTTTTAAGGTATAAGTTACTTAAAAACAATAAACTTACCTTCTCAATTTAAATGAAGGCACTAAAAATTAAAATTTATTATACAAACACAATTAGTTGTGTTCTAAATTATATTTAGACATACATATACAAATACAATACAAATTTTGAAACGTATGTCAAAGGATGCTGTCAATTTTTTTTTCACCCAGAAATGTCACTTTACATTCGTGTTTTGCCTTGCCAATGAAAAGATTAATTTTCTAAGCAACGATGTCATTACGAAATGTGACTTTTACATAGTGGTCGTAGACAATTTTTTTTTAAATCTCCCAAGCCTACCCTTCAGTCTGTCCGGGTATTTTTACCTTTCTTAATCAACCTGAAAAAATTATATTTTTCCCATTCCGTTATGGGTTTAAACTTATTAAGAATTGGTTTAGTTTTTTTATTTAACTAACTGGGCATTATGAGGTTGATAGATTTTGGACTTGCATTGTCTTCAAATTATTAATTAAGACAATGCAAGTCCAAAATATATTAACCTCATCATTATAATGTTATAACATTGTCTTAAAACTTTAAGCAAATGTATAAAGAAGAACAAAACTGTGTAAAGAATGTCGACTTTAGCTATATAAATGTCTTAAAAATCTCAATTTAGGCTAGGAATAACATTTTTTTTAATGTGATATGTTCTATGGTCCACACTTAAAAGTCTCACCACGTGACTGATACAAATAATCATATATTATATCACGAGAACTATGAATTTAATCGGTTAAACTAGGCTCAGTAGTTTTTTGTTTGGTTTTTCTTGGAAAATGTTGAATGCAAAATAATTTAATAAAATCATGAGACCGCGTAGCGCTCGAGGGGTTTTATTTTTAATTATTTTGCATGAAACTATTTTCCAAAAAGAAAAATCAAATAAAAAACTTACTGAGCATAGTTTTACAGATTAAATTTATAGGTTGATACGTCTAGATTATTTCCCTCATTATAATATGAACCAATCAAAAGCCTTGAATTTTCGAATAAATTTCGTTTAAATAAGCGATTAAATCACTAGAACTATTTAACAGCGATTAAATTTTAGCCTCCATATTGGATTTTTGTTTACGATTTTATGGTGTTATTTACATGTTTTAACAAACATTTTTTAAAAAACAATAAAAAATAAGTTATCTAGTTTACGAAATATCAATTATTACTTATTACATACCTTAAATTAATGGAATTTTCTTTAAAAAAATATTTATAAATTTTGACACATGTCAGATTTTATGAATTGTCAAATAGTTTCCTTTAATTCGAGAAATAATCTAGACGTATATCACTTAACTTATAAATTTAATTTGTCAAACTATGCTTAGTAAGTTTTTATTTGATTTTTCTTTTTGGAAAATAGTTTTATGCAAAATAATTAAAAATAAAACCCCTGGAGCGCTACGCGGTCTCGTGATTTTATTAAATTATTTTGCATTCAACATTTTCCAAGAAAAACCAAACAAAAAACTACTGAGCCTAGTTTAACCGATTAAATTCATAGTTCTCGTGATATAATATATGATTATTTCTCGAATTAAAGAAAACTATTTGACAATTCATAAAATCTGACGTATGTGTCAAAATTTATAAATATTTTTTTAAAGAAAATTCCACACCTGTAATTTTTAACCAATCAAAACGTGTATTTTTGATAGATCACCATGGCAACGGTTGAATTTTAGTGGAAATTTTTTCCTCGTGGGTACCCAACAGCGAATTATACTGGAAATTTTTTGACGTTTATAATGACAGAATATTTTTTTGACAATCTGGTTTTTATTTGTTTACATGATAATTTTGATACATTTCCATTACAAAGTTTATATGTTTTCTATATTCGTTGGACACCTCCTTTCTTCTTAATGGCGAAAATGCAGGACTTGAAATAAATTAAATGTCTATGTCTAATGAAATATATATAATATTTAGACACTATTCTATTCACCTTTTTTTCCATTTAGCACTTTGAGTTTTGAATAGTTAAGATGCAAATATTCGTGAACAATTCAAAACAAATTTTCTTTCTTTAAGTAGGAGCCACAATCCTCTAATAATGCGGGTAAATAAGTCATTGCACGATGATTGATCATTACAGCAGACAATTTCACATTTTTTTACGTCGTGCCGCTTGACAGCTTCAAAACTGAAATAACTTTTAGGTTGGGGTTGACTTAGTTGCCATGGTAACTAAATAATCAAGTCGAGGTCAAGTTAAATCAAAAAATAAATTTTAATTATTTAAACACAATTTGGTGTGGAATTTTCTTACCGAATACCACACGAGGTCAAATTAAATCCGGAAATTTTTTCTCCCTCATGAATATTTTTAGAAAATTATCCCTCGTCTTCGACTCGGGATAATTTTCAAAATATTCATGAGCTTGAAAAAATTTCCGGAAATAATTTGACCTCTAGTGGTATTACTAGTGAAAATTCCATTAATTTAAGGTATGTAATAAGTAATAATTGATATTTCGTAAACTAGATAACTTATTTTTTATTGTTCGTAATCGTAAACAAAAATCCAATTTGGAGGCTAAAATTTAATCGCTGTTAAATAGTTCTAGTGATTTAATCGCTTATTTAAACGAAATTTATTCGAAAATTCAAGGCTTTTGATTGGTTCATATTATAATGAGGGAAATAATCAAGGTTAATTTTCTGTCATTATCAAGCTTTATTTTACAATATAATATATTGTGTCAAACAATATAATATATTGTGTAATACAATATAATATATTTTATTTCTAAGTTAAGACCTTTAGACACAAAAATACATATATTGCATTATTTTCAGAAAAAAGGACGACAGAAAATTAACCTTAATTATTTGTATTAAAGTCCCGTTGTGGGACTTTTGGATGTGGACCATAGTTCCTATAAAATTTAGCGTCCTGGGGACGCCAGGGAAAGACGCACGCATGAACCCCTAATCCAGGACTTCCCGCAAAAGCCCAAATTAAATTTAGTTTTTTCTTCAGGTTTTATAAACCCCTTATACAATTTTTGGTCGCCCTTGCGGTCGGAACCTTGGCAGGAGATGCCCTTTTGCATCTTCTGCCTCACGCAATGAGCACGGGGTCGGAGGCGGAACATCACCACGGCCCCGGTGGCGACGAGAACATGTGGAAAGGATTCGTCGCTATGATGGGGCTTACGTTTTTCTTTGTCATGGAGCGCGTGATCTTGCTCATCGGCAAGTGGCGGAAAAGTAAGCAGAGAAAATCGGTAAGTCATGCCAAAATAAAATAATAAATTATTAGCACATTTAATTCCCTTCAAAACTGTCTTAAACAAATTCATTATATCATTTTACACTGTAAATGTAAATAAATATTTATCTTTAAGATAACATTTTTCATTTTTCGTAAATTAACATTATCTCTAAAACAAAACAAAGTAAATTTCAATTAGGACGTTTAATAAATAATTATTGAAGATTTTAAATACTCAATATTATTAATTCCTTATAAACAAGGTTAAAAATTTTGAAATAATTTAAGTAAATTAACATTATCTCTAAAACAAAACAAAGTAAATTTCAATTAGAACGTTTAATAAATAAATATTGAAGATTTTAAATATTTAATTTTATTAATTCCTTGTAAACAAGGTTAAAAATTTTGAAATAATTTAAGTAATGGAATAACATAACGTTTAATTAATTTTCCTTTTCATTGACATTTAAATACACTAATCAAACAATTTAAAAGGCGAATAAAATTATTTCCTGTTATGAAAAAATCACAACAAAAATTTAAAATTTTCCAATTGACATTAAAAATAAACTGCAGGCCTCCCGCTAGGTCACTTTTATAATGGTTAATTTCTGTATAAAAAGTTACTAAAGTTACTATTTCTTTCTCTTATTTTAATATATCCCTGTATTAAGCATATTCCCAGATAGCAAAATGTAGTCATGATGCGCGCAGTGAGTGCACGCGTGAGTCTTTAAACCGCGCAGATCACTACACAGATGCGCTTACATATGCGTCTCATATGCAGCGCACGTGTGCCGGCGCATTTAAAGCGCACGTGTGCCGGCGCATTTAAAGCGCACGTGTGCCGACGCATTTCCAGCGCACATGAATGAGTAAAAAAAGTTGTATATATACGACGGGTTTAATGCAAAATGGCACAAGCGCCAAATTTTTCGAAAAATTGTTAGAAGTACAGGTTGATAGAGAATCAAATTCTCTAGCTAGAGCTGTAACAATTTTTTTTAATTTTGGGGTTTGTGCCGTTTTGCCTTAAACCCGTTGAGGTTTTAGGTTTCCACGGGCGTTATATGTATTGATGGTTTTCCGGGATCTGCTCCGTGTTGTCGGTTTTTGGTTCTTAAAATAACCGTATGTCTGACGACGTCGTCAGACATACGGTTCTTCTAAGTACCAAAAACCGACAACACGGAAAACCACCAATACATATAATACATACATATAAATATATTTATATATTCAAGTAAAGGGAAAAAGTAGTAAATAAAAATGCAAATTTTAATCAAAATCACTTTAAAAAAGTAAATAAATATCAAAAACGTAAAATAAAAAAATCTAAAATGTAAATAAAAAGCAGATGATCAATTAATCAAGTGATTTTAAAAATACTAAACTAAATAATCACAAAAGTAAAAGCACAAAACCCTAAAGCAAATAAAAATCTTAAAGTAAATAAAAATGCACAGGTTTATAACTTAAATTATTGTAAAATCCCAAGAAAAATAATCAATTATGATGGGAAAATGCTTTTTATGATTTAATCTTTATATTTTTCACACTTACCTGAAATAACTTTTATCAATTTATACCTTAATATAATAACACGTGAACACAATAGAAAAATAAATACAATAAAAACACAACCCGATTGCATGTAATAAGGTTATGTTTTTGTCGAATTACCGCGTTGACCGGTTACGCGCGAATTTTAAAATTTGTATTTAAATGCAATATAATAAATTATGTATATATATTCATCAGTTGATGCTTGTCATTTTAATTGAACTTTCCTAGTGAAACAATGCAAATTGCAATTTTACGTTATTTCATTAATATTGATTGTATCATTTTTGTAATTATAAGGTGAATAAAAACGAAATCTACTGTTTTTTAATAGAATCTGGCATTACTGCCGATAAGCACAGTGTAAGAGATCATTGATTGATCACGTCGTGCGCTCATACTGCAGTCATCGCGTGGGCGCGCACGGCTATGCTACTCATATGCGTGTGAAATCGACCACACGTGTGCGACCTACGTGCGACGCACGATTGCTATCTGGGTTCACTCGTATGCGAAAATAATATACTTAAAAAATGTTGTAATAAATAACGAATTATGAGCGATGCAACTGATATGAATCCGATTTGGCAACCCACCTGGCGCGAACATAACATTACACGCAAAGCGCAAACTGTCGGATGTACATTACAGTTTTGGCATCGTCATCTGTGACTTGTTCACAGAGTGGCACAAATTTGTTAACCTCCTCCCCCATCACCATTTATGGACGATGCCTTATAAGAATATCAATAATTTGATCTTTGAGAAGAGTTTTATTACGTTAGGTACATTTAAAATATTTTTATTATTAGGTGCGTTCTTTTTACCTAAGATCTCAGTTAATCTCAGCTCACATTGGAAAATTTGCAAAAGTGCGCGTTATTTTTCCTTTAAGCCTTATATACGTATAGATAGCCTTCCTAACTTCCTTCCTTTCTCCCGTAAAAGATGAACAATAAGAAAATCGTAGTGAGATTTATAGATGCCCGTACGGAAATCTATAAATGGGACTACGATTTTCGTATTGTTCATCTTTTACGGGAGAAAGAAAGGAAGGAAGGAAGGCAATCTATAAATCAGCCATTACTCACCATAAAGTGAGCTGAGATTTTTCCTCCCCCTCACCGATACTGCACATGCTGTGCGGGGGGAATCAGTTTGAATTAAGTCGGAAATAAAGTGGAGGGGATAAAGACATTATTGATTTGTTAAGTTTTTAAATAACATAACCTAATCTTATTTAGGTGATTTTTTGCAATAAAACTTTGTAAATTAGCTAAAACTTGATATAATAAATAGAACGAGTAAAACACTTTTTACAATATAATTCAACAAAGAAAGTAAAAGTGAAGATTTTTTAAATCTTATTTTATATCACAAAATTATTACTTTTTACGAAAAAATTATTTTTTGCAAAAAACCTAAATTTCCATAAAAATAATTAAATTTTGTAAATTGACTATAAACTTAATCTAATAAAAATTATTCGATTAAAATTGTTTTTCAGAAGTAGAAAACACTTTTTACAATAAAATTAAACAAAACATGTCAAAGTGAAGTTTTTTTTTTAATTTATATTTTATGTCATAAAATTAATATTCTTATCAAAAAATTGTTGTTTTTGTTTGTCACCAAATTATGAAAAGAATTATAGATCAGGAAACGTCTTTAATATATACTCTTAATTTGTCCACTGAAGATGCACAGCATTATTATTTATTATCTATGATGCACAGAGGCTGCAGGAAGGTATTATAATTCAACGCAAATTTACACATAGAAAACACGAAATTTAAACCAATAAGGATTTGACACAGAACATAATTATATCAGAGATAGGTTATGTTGCCTCTTATTCACATATGCGCCGTCAGATTGCGCGTTTCAATTGAGTGTGTCGTTCTTTTTAATGCTTACTCACATCACTACTAGTGATGCCGCCTATACGAGAGATTCTCGCCTCTCGTCTCGTCTCGTCTCGACGAGACGAGAGGGCGATTTTCTCTCGAAAAAAGACTCGAGACGAGACGAGAGAATGCCCTCTCTCGCTCGAGAATTTCTCGTTTCTCTCGATCTCTCTCGTTCTCTCGATTATTCCGGTAACAATTTTTTTTACATAAAAATTATAATTTTGTACATAAATGACGATATTTATTTGAACCAATGAGAACATTATTCGAATTTCATAATAAACAAAATTTGTTCCTGGTTAACGTTGTATTATTTTATAACACAACTTAACGTTAACCAAGAAAAAAATACGTATAAAATAATAATAATTTTTTAAATTTACCCTGTATAAGCACATCTATGGCACTCCGTATACTATTTAAAAAAACCCGTATGCTTAATAAGCATTGCTTATTCAATAAACTTATCAACAACATGTGGTTTTTGAGGGCCTGATTACAAATTTGATATCCATTTTTTTTAACAAAATGGCTGATCCAATATGAGGAAAATTCGTCGTTCGGCTTTAATGGTTTGGGTAAAATTTAGTATTTAAATATTTATGGGGTCCCTGATTCAGAATTTGATATCCTTAAAAAAAAAACAAAATTGCGGATTCAAAATGACGGACATGCGCAGTAGGTACAAGATGGTTGGATCTATGTGGAGTAGTTACATCATATATGCGCAGTAGTTTTCAGATGGATAGATCAAATGATTTGATCCATTAAAAACTATTTGGTCAAATTAACCTTTTATTTAAGAATTTTTTTTGTGAAATGCGTATTTCACGAGATATTGAGCTGTCTCAAGTTAAAAGAAACACCTATACTAGATGTAACTACTCCACATAGATTCAACTATTTGATTCAAATGCGCGACATTTTCGGCGTAAAAAGTCTTACTTTATTAGTGTGGTCTTGGCACACATTTCTATATAAAAAAATATAAACGAATTCGTATTTCATTCCAAATAATTTTCATACTTAGGTACTTTTACCACGAGAGAAACGACGAGACGAGAGAAAGGCACTCTCGAGCGAGAAAAGAGTATTCTCGACGAGACGAGAGACCCATTTTCTCTCGTTACACGAGACGAGACGAGAGAAGGACTTTTTTCGTCTCGTCTCGTCTCGCGGCATCACTAATCACTACATCTCATATCAAATTAACTGAAGTGAGCTGAGATCTCAGGCGAAAAGAACGCACCTATTATTACGGTTTTTTTTCCTTAAATTTATTAGGTTAGTATTGGTTACTTTTTTAAACTAAAAGGAGGTTACTTTGTTAGTAACAAATTGTTACTATTTAAAATTCGAAGTTTAGCAGGCGCCCTGAAACTATTATTTTAAAAATTTGGTGATCAGAATAAAAAGTTAATGCTAGAAAATATACAGTAAAATACAGTTTAGATTAAAATTTTAAAATCTGTCAACGCTATCTGAGAACAGCAACACTTACAGCTGATTTAAATTTACTTGCTTTACTTGTTTTTAT